CGCTCGACAACTTTTTCGCCGACTATATACTCATCCACTCATCGCTCGTCGTCGGCGAAAAAGCCGTGGAGGTGGAGGGGGGGGGGTCGTACTCACACCGACATTTCGCACATCCCCATGCTGTACCCTGTGGGTGGATCACTCCCTGACAGTGCGAGTGGACTTCATATAACGGCGTTACCCCCGTTACCGCACAGTGATTAGTCAATCAGAATCCTTGTCAATGGGTGCGGTGCCTTGTATCGTATTTCTACAATTTGACCTTATTGTTTCTAACTGGTGGAATCGAAGACGATGACCCATCAAGGGCGTCAACACAACTCTCACTGAATGAACTGTCAGGGTCGCCCCCTTTACGGTTCTCGCGTAAACTAAGAGAAGGGCGTAAAGTCCTCTACAACGCCAGTGAGTCGCATTATATGAAGTTATTTAGGTTAAACTGTAATCAGCAGTCAAATCGGCGAAAAATCCATGCTCACCCCAAAGAAGTAAGACGCCAGATGCAGTTTGATAGTATTTCCTTTGAGATGAATGATAGATCAGATTCGTAATAAGAAAGCCTTTTTCCCATAACCACAAGCTTTTAGGAAAACTTTGCGTTTTGTACTACCAATATTTCCTCCTAATTAGGCGAAAAAGTAAAGGTAAATGCAGAGTGGTGGCCAGCAAAGGTGGCACAGATCGATCGTATTCAAAAAATAATTCCATTATTCGAATAGACTAGTGCTAGGGTAGCTCAGGGGATAAACTGCCGACCTAGGAGAGTAGATGGGCTCTGTAGGTGTTGTTGCAGTTGCTTTGTAAAAAACCATGGCGACCTAAAAAGAAACAAAGTGGGTGTGGGTCGGGACTCCCATGTCAGGGCCATCCAGCCTCCATGAGAATTGCTGTAATGACCTCTCGAGTCCCGGTACCTGCTATCCATGCGAAAGAAAGAGTACCTGCATTTCAGTCGGACCCTCTTAGTTCTCTTGTGGTCGCTTTAAGGTTTATGTGGCCAAAAGTTTAGGCACGTCTTTGTATGCGCAGAAAGCGGAAAAAAATAGGAGCTATGTACACTGGTGCTGGAAGAATCTTGGTGACTACTTTGAGGTGGCCTTCACGTTTTGTAATTTCTCTGTTTAACATCCCTAGAATAGAAACCAATGCCACTTCGAACCTTCATGAGGGGCGTCAAGGGATGTTTGCCCTAGAAAATAGGGCAGTCAAGTTTTTCTTCTCGTCATTTCACTTTTTTGGTTTCTTAGGAGCTAGTTTTCAAGTGGGACTTGGCTTCCGACCTATGCATATGCGGTGGCTTGAATTTTGATGTAAGCACAGACACAGGCTAATAGAATGCGTACGCTCTACCAGGGATTCTTGCAATTTTGCAGGCACAGTCGTTATCTGAGGCAGGGGTGGTGGGGGAACCTGCGTTGGAAGCGCAGAAAATCCCCTTTACCACCAACTGATGTAGTTCAGGCACGCAACAATAGGCGGAAATGGCTGCCCTGGGTGTTGTCCCAGGCCGCGCGCGCTCTTTCACATGTCTCTCTCCCGTTAGCAGCTACAATGAGTGTAGTCACATCACCGTAGACTAGACCCATCACCTCTGCTGGACTGGAAGCAGCTCTGGAATCTGAACATAGAGTCTAACTTCCGTTTCCGTGAAACTTCGGTACCGTAGTCACTAGGTGGGGGTCTTTTTACTAGTGCCTTGGATCGCCTTCATTGGAGGGCAACTTTATCACTGCAGGAGAGGAAAGCTGTCTTCTGTTGGTTTCTAGTATAATCTCCAGATTCATAGTAGGAACGAGTTGCGCTGAAACCATCTATTCGATTTGCAGGCTGATAGTTGAGAGCTGTTCTACTGTATCACTCAACTATTACACTTCTTTGGCGCAAACGAAAAAATCCTCTTCCATCCAGGGTTCATAAGGAGCGAAGTGGAACTAAACCTGCCGCCCTACAAGTTCCCAAAAGTTCAACACCTTTCGGATCAATAATGGCGTCCAGACAAAGATCGCTTGCGTGCCGAGACAAATGGACGCAAAGGTTATTGTTCGGAGGCTGCGGAACGATGGGTCAAGAGCTACTAGGACAATACCTGTGCGGACTCGAGAAACTCTTCAAAGGGGAGGCAACGTGTAAGAATTCGCGTCACCTGTTGCAGGATAGGGTAAATTTCACCAATTCTCCCACAGAAGTGGCACTCCAGCAAGAAGGGCCTCATTTGAGCCACCAATAAAATCCTCCCGTACCTTAGGTCACACTGGTATAATAGCGGTTGGGAAAACAGGCTGTCCTGGTTGTTAGCCTGGAAAAACCGGAACGGTTACCAGCTGGCTTCACAACTTACTGAGAAATGAAGTACAACATGCCTTTATAGCATGCCTCGCCTTTGAGTGCTTCTTCGATTAAGGATGTTAACCGAACAGGGCACAGGGTTGGGCGTATTTTGGTCGAGTTCGTATCACCCCCCCCCTCTTTTTTTAGAGATGGTTCGACGCTCCTTCCTTGTTCCCTTCTCATCGAGCTGTCGAGCAGGAGAAGGGATTATATAGTTAACATGAAGCAGAAAACCATGAGTCAGTAACCTCTCTCAGGTCAGAAGAGAAATGAGACCCCCCCCCCTCCCAACAACTAGCAAATACGCCCCCCCCCCCCCTCTTCACAATTTCTGAACATAAAAACACGACTATCAAGAAAATTTTTTTCGGCCCAAATATGGCCCTCTCCCCCTGTTGGGGAATCCCCAACAACGATGTGCCCCTGTAACCGAAGGAAGTTTCGTCCTGAAGAAACCTGTCAAGGTCAGTCTTATACTCGACATCTTTTCTTCATGGGTTGGCTTTTTAGGGCAAAACCATCTTTCGGGGTGTAAATTGTGGGTCATGTTTTTAGATGTTTCCCTGTAGAACTAAGTATGTCAGAGGAATTTCATTGTCAACGGATCGTTAATTTCTACGCGCTATGCTCCAGATTCCTCGTAGTTTTGTTTAGTTTCCCGATACAGTCAGTATATCGCGTTGATATGCAATTAGCACTCCATTCTATCAATGAAGTTTTTAGCCGCCGAAGTATGAAAAAACTAAGATCCTGTAGACGATCGCCGGCGTTGAATTTTCGCAAGCAATAACGTCCCTAAGGTGTTGACGAATGGTGAAAAAGACTGGATGATGATCCGTTGTTTAGCGTCAATCATTCCCACTAGCGCCAATATCGATGCCACCTATTGCACCCTTCTAACCGGTTGCCGTATTAATGGTGTGTTCACAGTGATGACCCACCTTACGCAAGCCAGAACTACCTGCATCGATTCGGAAATGGTCTCGATCACATGGCTAACATTCTTCACAGGGGCTAAAGAAAGGACACTTTGTCCCTCGACTTTCGAAGCGAAATAAGTTACAGTTAAAGTCTGAGTGGACATTTCCACCATCAAATTTAACAGCTTATTGTAGGCGATCAAGAAACTCCGCCACAGCCTTCTGGACGAGCGCCATCGAGAGATTCTGGCACGCGACCGCGATGTGGTGCCTGGGTTCAGCGAGATCGTTGGTTTCTCCGCCACTGTTGACCCCCTTTTGAGCCTCCACCCGAACTCGATAATCGAGGGGATTCAGGTTTACAATTTGGGTATTCCCGTCTTCTTTCATTTACTGCAAACGCGCTTCCATTCCAAATCGAGAGTTTTTTCCAACGCCCTTCAGTTCATGTGGTAAGCATCGGCGAATACTCTGTTGCAGTACGAAGTTTCCAAGATGGTACGGGAGACGACATGAAGAGGAGGATATTCTCCTCGAGCTATTAGATGTATCAGCGTTCACTTTCAGTTCGGGGTGCAGGAAAGAAACATCGGTCTTCCCATTCCAGGAACTTCCGGTCCATACGATCAACCCCGTCTTTGCGACTGCGAAAAGTGAAGATGATACGCTGGACCGTGGAGACGCTGGCGGGGCGGCTCGATGTCAAAGGTCTTCCAGATCGAGAGTGCCCTTTTGGTAGATGTCCATGGGTGTCCATGGGTGACTTCACATAAGAGGTTTGGTGTACATGAAGGTGATGGACGAGAGCCTGCTTCTGCTTATCGAGGAACATCTTGGGTATCTTCCGCCCTGGTACTCGTATCCACGTCTTCTCTCTGGGCTGCGTATTCTTTACTGATATGTGCCTCGGACAAAGTGTCTTCCCCCCTCCCTGCATTCAGCGAAACTGAAGGACTTTTGTTCAAGGAAACGAGGGTTCAAAGCCCTCTCAGACAGGTCGCCGCGTAATTATTTTCCAGCTCATCCGCTTTAATGGCTCGGGATGTGGTCAGCGTCCAGGAGCTGGCTGTTCAATGAGGGGAATGCAGACGCATTTGTTGGCGAAATAAAGCGTGTGTATGTGATGTGATGGCATCGCAATGAAGGCAGAAAACCGGGTTGAGACCACACCCCATCGTTGTGTGAAGGCCAAACCGTGATTGCTTCTACAATGAATCAACTACGATTCGCAGCCTAATAAACGACACTCACATAGCTATAAATGAAGATGAATAGCACAGAGATTAAGCCTCGAATAATGTCGATTCCCATAATGATGATCCATGGTACCAGCAGCCATTGGTTGTAGATAAACAGGCCTGTAAGATTGGGTCTAGATCCGAAAGAGGCTTAGAAAAAGTACTGTAAGGCGTACCAATGAGCAGAAGAATCGAGGCAAGAATCATGCCGATATAGATCAAGATGTCTATGACCAAGACAGAGTAACGTACTGGAAAGGAACAGTCAGACTCATCCAGGAAAGGTATAAAACAGGCATAAAAGGGCATAAGAAGGCTCACGTCCGGCTTCATACTTCAGTTCTTCAGTGTAAAGGCCAAATGAGCAATGGTAAGTCGTCGAGTCCTCCACCACTACCGTCGTATGTCCACCATGGAATGTGAGCTTGCGATTCTCTGAAACTCTCATATCTCGCAAGTAAAACTTGAGCGCAGTTCGGCGACGAACGAGAAGCGGGCATTTTTAACGATTTACGATTTATATATCGGCAAGGACTATTTGATAGAGAAGCTCAGATATAAAAGCAGAAAAACCACAAACCATAAGTACTCCGATAAGTAAAACGCAGTAAGGTCATAAACTGAAAAGTCCTGCGAAGTTGAGAGGGAAACCTCCCAGCTGCTTGAATAGTTCCGCTTTACAAGTCTCACCCTGATGAAACCTGTGAACTCTTGTGAATCTGGAGCAAGCTCGTCTAGCCACCATGGTAGAACCTGTCAACTCTTGTAAGCTCACGAAATGGCTCTCTAGATGGGTCGACACGTCGATGGGAAGTAGCAAGAGTGCAAAATGCCCCTCACCCCCCCCTTCGCAGATCTGGCCCAGCTTTTGTTCCAAAAAGGCAACTCACCTGCTGGCAGTTTCCCTTGCGCTTCCAATTCGCAACTACGAAAATGTGACGCGTCGCCATTATTCGCGGTGTCGGATAATCCCCATGCAGCGAGCCCAAGTAGGATAGAATAGAGAATCTGGAACGTTTCGTAATCGTGCAGACAAATAAAAAGAAATACAGGAACCAACAACTTCAACAAAAGGGTTAGGGGTAAAGAAAGAAAAGAGAGAAAGGAATTGGAGGAATCCTTTCCATACAACTTAGCATCCCCCCCCCTCAAGGGTGCAAGCGAGGCTAACTCACCAAAGTATATAGAGCGACAAAGACGGTGGCTAAAGATAATCCGCAGCAGAAGCAACTACGAATCTGTACTTCGACTTTAGCCATGGCTGCGGTTGACGGTGAATGGCGTCTCCTCGCCTGCTTCGATGGCCATACTGTCTGTCACCGTATAGTCCGTCGTAGCCCTCTGGCTAAACGCACAGTATCGTTGTTTTCCATTCGGGACCCTCCACTAAAACGTTGTATCTCGTTTAGTTGTCTCACTGACTGCAATCATCGACAACGACGACGACGCTCTCCCAGCGCGACCACGCCCAAGGACAAATCGGCGGGCGGCGCAACTCGCAGTAAACAAGGTATTTTACAGTTGCGAGTATCGCGATAAGTGCGGTGCAGGAACGGTATTATTAGTGTTCTTCTGCCCATAATGGAGGAGAAGGCTAACGCGCTCATGGGCAAAGTCTCAGATCTTCGTAGGCACGCCCGGAATGCTTCGAGAGAGCCAAACAACCACCAGTTCTTCGCCATTAAGCAGGAATTTAGAGCGTTCACTTTAAAGACCCTAATAATCGGGAAAGCTATGTTAAGGATTCATTCACCAATTCAGAAACCGCCACCCCTTAAGAACAAAAGGTTCCCTGATCGGGAACATGTTCTGGGCGCTGCGACCGTTCGGAAGGAAGGGGCCAGTGCAACGCGGGCAGGAAAGCTATGGCTATGGATAAAGGGTTGCGTAATCGGCATCATTTCCCTTCAGGTAGGTCAAAGCATATCATTGGCTGGAGATTTCAGCCGTGTGTCCGTACGACCCCCCTCCCCCCCCCCCCGAGAAGGTGGCTTGGTTGACTTTATGCGAGCCCTCTAGTCCCCTCCTCTAATCCAGCTGTCGAGAGAAGGGAGAGGATGGGGTATTTTGCACCTAATACGGGAAAAGCCGCGAAAATACACCCCTACCTCTCATTTCACCTACCACTTTGTTATATTTTCTCCAACTTCCCACCAGTTTTTCCGAGAGTTCCAAAAATTTTCCCACTTTTTTCCCGAGATTTGCTGTCGAGCGGGGCACATGTGACACAGCACACGTGAAACGGGGAAAATCCCGCGTAAAAATTCTAAAACCGGAAGAAAAGTTTCTTCCCAACACCGCAAAGGGGAATAGAACCCCCCTCTCCCCAACAACCACGAAATGCGCCCCCTTTTTTTAACGACAGTAAAACAAGAAAAATTGACTATCACAACAATTTCTCCAAAAATCGGGCCCCTGTTGAGGGAATCCTTGATGATGATGTGCCCTAGGTGGTCATGAATTCTGTTCCTTTTGAAGATAATGGAGTACATACTTAATAAAGCAATGACTTATGTAAACAGCGCGCTGTTGTCAAGTCATGCTCCCAAATTGTGGAAATTTCATTTAATCGTCGGCGTCACGATTTATGAGAATCATCTATTCACCAGTCAGTACTAGCCGCCAATCCAAAAACTGGTGCTTATTCCCAGGTTTCACATACATACACCTACTTTGCTTACCTACAGTTCTTCAGCCCCTTCTGATCCTGAATGATTCAGCCGCTTTGCAGATTTGACGAGGGAAACCGGTGAAATTGCGGGAGAAGAACTTGTTCGGCGAACGGGCTTGTCGGGACAGAGGTGCCATCCAGGGCAAACTCGAAATGGCGCTCAAACCTGATTGCCTGATGTTCTGATTGATCTCTTCTAAGTTGAGACCGTCAGATTGAGGAAGGGAGAACTCTCTCTCTCTCTCTCTCTCTCTCTCTCTCTCTCTCTCTCTCTTCTCTCTCTCTCTCTCTCTCTTGCATTCTTGCCTGCACGGCTCGGGAATAGTTGTTTCTGGGTGAGGCTTTGTGGGCAGTCACTAGAGATCTTTAATCATTACTGATCACTCATTGCTGCACGGAATCCGCTTTGTTCCGGACGGAGTCAGGGCCCAAAGTGTCCCCTCGTCAACGTACTCTCCTCTCCATTATAAGAAAAGAAAACAAAAACCGGAGAAAAAAAAGAAAGCGAGAAACCGAAAATGGAGGCTCACGTCCTACTCCGCCCATACGTTGAACCTGAACTATGCACTCAGGAGGCAACTACAACATAAAACGAAGCCCGTTCCAGAATATCTTTGTACTTCATGGGACAGGTGATGCAGAGCAGTGGCTGGATGCGTCATGTAATACTTTGATTTATCGTGGAAGAGCCACACTGTGTTATTCAACTAACTGGGCAGTACTGACTAGCTCGCAGCAGCGTACGGAAGGGGGGGGGGGGGCACTCTACACATTTGCTACTCCCGATCGACGTGCCCACCCATCTAGAGAGCCTTTTCTCGAGTTGGCAGGTTCAACCATGGTGGCTGGACGTGCTCGCTCCACCTTCAAAGGAGTCACAGGTTTCACCAAAGTGGGACTTGTAAGCCGGAACTGGTGAATGAGCGAAAGTGCAAAATGCACCCTCCCGTCGCCGAACTGCGCCGGAGGAATTTGCTATTAGTATGTTGGCGTTTGCTTTTTGCAGGGCATTCCTGCTACTGTAATATCAGCCTTCCACAAGGAGTCCCCCGAATGCTCATTCCAACAGAGCCGTAATCTTTGTCGAAACGGTAACGAGAACCAATCAGAAGCATCTGAAAGATTTCAAAGCCATGCAGGATTATATTTTGCGTGCAGATATATATTTTAAATTAGAGAGAGTGTCAGGTCCCATGAAAGGGAAGATCCCTAACCGCGGTTAGCCAGCGGTTCCTTTGTTAAAAGTAACCAACGATCGTGAGTCCTTCCTTTTTTAGACACCCCAAACTCCCGCAGATTGGCCCGCTATTAGAAGAGTCAGTGGGCGTTGCGATCGCATCGCGTGCAAACGATATGCAGGAAAAACCAATGGTAATTGATGGTTTGATTCCGAAAGGACATTTTCGACATATCGGATCATAAGAACAAGCATCAAAGACTGGGTGATCGAAGAACTGACGAGAGATCGAATAAAAGTGTCTTATTCGAGCTGACTCTTGTAGCCTTTCATCTCCGTAATCTGCAAGGTTATGTTGTTGCGTGTTGACTTTTTAATTCGTGTACCTGTGGTGTAAAGTATAATAGAAATATGGTGAAATAGAAATAGGTGTATAGTATAATATAAATATGAACATATGTTTGTAGCAATCATTAAGCACTGAGGGCTCCATGTGGAGAAAGTCTGATAGTGGATCAAAGATTCAATGAGGTTTAAGGAGTTTAATTTGTCAGTAACGCTTTCGCTTGTGACTGACGCCAGATGTTTTCTTTCCAAGCGGATTCCACATATAAGTCCGGGGAATTATTAGGTCCCATTCGAAAATGTAGCGACATATAGAGGAATGGCAGGAAAGCAAATTAGGATAGGGCACGGCCTTACTGTGACCATTTAGAGAGCTAGTACTTTAGTCTTTGTAGCTGTAAATTCGCCGACCTAGCACAGAAGAAGTTCTCGAAGAAATCAGATGAGAGCCCGAGTGGTCAAATCAGCGCTGATTTCGAATAAGGCATAAGAGGAAAGTGCTTGAATTGCTGTGAATTTGATCTGTGCCGGAGCAGTATGTAGTTGATAACGTATCTCGAACATGAAGGTGGAGGATTTGGTTCTGGAGCCCGAAGTAGGAAGAAAGGAAAACACTGTTCTACTGGATGGTCCCATAATGTCATCCTGCACAAGAAAAAAGGTGGATGAAGTCAAGCGCTGAACGTCACGTGGGCTGCCACAGCCGCTCAACGTTCTAGTTCTAACGCCCGCCCAGTTGGACCGCCCACTTGCTAGATGCCCTCTGACGGAGAGCCGCTCAGTTGTTCTTTGTTGGGGCGGGCATTAATCGGAACTGCATGTATTTTTGCTGACCGCGCTCGTGCCCATAAATAATTCTGCTCTCCTTTATTACATTTTATTCATTGGGAGCACATACAGTCAACTGCAACCCATCTCGCAAGGTAAACGCGTAAAAATCACGAATGCAATTTTGTGGTGCAAAAGCTCGACATGCACTAAAGCCGCACACTGCACGTAACCCAAATTCGGACGCGTAGGTTTTTTAAAATTTCGTTATTTTAAAGAGTTTTTCGTTCGCGTCTTTGTTGTTTTTCGTATTCTTTTCTTTGAATTGGTTGTTGTCCACTACTGGGAAATGCCGATAAAGCGATTTGTGAGCCAGAGGTTGCCCACGGACCGCAACGGGTGGTGTTCTTGAGGGCTCTTGTTGCTTTTTTCCTTCATTGAGGAATTACTTATCAGCTACTGTTTCATAATTGATCAGCAATTATCCTTGACACTTTTATCGCGGGAGCTGTCTTTAAGGGATGATCATCATAAAATAGGATTTCTGCACTGTGGGTTCCAAGCGGCTCTACAAATAACGAAATCGTCAATATCTGTGTACATTACCCGTCCTTCGACAATCAGATCACAAATGGGTGGTACCACACAACTAGAAGGGCCACCGTTGCTCGTCAGAGCCCAAGTAACTGTATTGTAGGGCAGTGCTGGGACACAAACAATACTGAGACCTGGGTTCAATCGCCCCATTCGCCCGACATAAAGCCGAGCGATTCCAATTGTTCTCGTCAGTCGAGAGTACTCTCCGACGGCAAACGCTACAATGTTTTGTCATTCGCCGAAATTGGCATCAACAGCAATTTACTCGCACTTGTTGAAAAATCGAAGGTACCAGAGGTCCAAAGGCTTTCGGGGCACTGGGAGCGGGTCATTGGTGAAGGAGGGATCTACTTAACTAAAAGCCGAAATATTACTTTTTATGTTTTCCTCTTCATTTTATATGAATAAAACCTTCCACATTTTCGATAGTACGACCTAACAGAATGTTTCCAGCAGAGTTTTGGTAAAACCCACAGCCTGCGAAAAATTCCGATTTCTCGATGAGTGGGCAACAAAGGTGTCGCAGCATTTCATATTCGACTTGGCCTATACAAGGCTCTGTTGGGCCAACCAATGTAACTGTCAGTGCTCCCATTCCTTGTATATCCTTCAACATCAAGTAACCGACCTCAAAGAGTTGTAAAATCTGGCCGGCGCAGTTGTCAGTCATCACGAGATTTTATTCTCGGACAGGCATTGTG